CCCCCCCCCCCCCCCCAGAAACCAGAGTTCAGCTGACACAGGGCTCGATTCTACGACTTGCAGAGAATTTCTCCCAAGCATGATAATTGCCACTATTTTTCTTAGGATTTGACGTTAGTCAGTGTGTTCCAGAGATTCTCAGGAGTCAGCCTTTATTTGTGTTGATGCTATATTAAAGTAAGTATTATAAGAATTGTAATTCAAGCTCTTGTATAAATATGTGAGAAGTGTCAGTAATAAATAGTCCTAATTAGTAGACAGAAATAAAGTACTTTAATCTAAGCTGCGTGAGCACAAGGAACAGATGGGATTAAGCACAAATAATTCACTTTTTTTAACAGTTTTTTTTACTTTTTAATGTCTATCGTTGCAATTGAGTTTTTTTATTTGCCAAAACATGTCTTCAGTGAATTGCAGGCTACTTGGGAACGTTGCCCAAATTCTCCAAAGGAAGGTTCATAGGAGGTTGTGGCTCTTGCTAATTATATTAATCCATTTTAATTAACCTCTCTGTGCCAAAGAAGTGAAAACCTGGGTTCGCTTATTTCCTCTGTTCCTTGAGGGAATATGAACTTTGATATGTGTAAAGAGGATTGAGGCCCTGTGAATTAAACAAATGTTCTTAAACAGATCCACTCATAATATTCTACTTAAAGTGTACTGAATGCCTGTTCTTAGCAGGTTTATCTGCTAATCAAGTCTACGGTCGGGTTCAGTTAGTCCAGTGTTTCCAAAATGTGTTGAACTGCCATACATTTGCTATGTACTTGTAAAGTAGGTCATGTGCTTTAAGAGAGCATCAGACAAATCTAGTGCATAACTGACATATACCATATGCATGCAGAAGACTTTTTTTCTCTAGGAATTGTGCAATTGTACAGCCAGGCTTTACAGTCCGTTCATGTGCACACACAGTCTGTGTCTCAGGAAAGCTGGATTCACTGTGTCCACACAACTTACCTGTGCTGCTCAAGGCAAATGAGTTTTCACCTGGGAAGTTTTTCTTCTTCCCAGAAGCTTCAGTCTTGCTGTGTGTATGTTGCCTAATGCTCTAAGTCTGCCTAGGTAATCCTAGAAAACATATATGGCAGTTCTAAATAAGCTACAACATCTCCAGGAGTGAGTCCTGTCCCCCCTGTGCTCTGCATATTGTAGGACTGGTGATTATGGACCACTAGACAACTGAGTCAAAGGGCTGAGTAAAGAAAGATGTAATCTGGGCACCAGTTCCTCATCCTCCAAGGCTTGCTCCTCTCTCTCTGACTCTGAGAGCCAGACTGTATGTGTCTTGTTTTCTTTTTTTAATTCTGAATTGTCACAAATAGCACTTAGTAGTCACTAAAAAGCTATTGATCTCTCTCCCTCAAGTCCTAAAACTCCCTATAAATCAGTACCTCTCATTGAGTGAAGCACTGGAAAATAATAAAGCCTGGATTTAACAGTATCTCTGTTGGATACTAGATAATCTGTTAGAAAAGATACTACTAGACCTCTTACCAGTGACCAGTGTGCTGTTAACCTAATGTCCTATCAGCGCTGCAGTCCATAGACAAGTTTCTTGGCTTGATTAAGTGTTACCATGTGAAAGATTCAATTTCAGCTTTTACTTGCACTCAAAACGAGACAATATCGTTCACTGCTTGACTTTGAACTCTCATCTGGCTGATAAACTTGAAAGAACACCAACAACTCTCACAAGTTCACTACAAGAGTGAGCACCTTAGTGCTGTTGTGCGTACATAAGCATGCAGTGGAGGAAAGAGACATATTTACAGTTTAGTTTAGGCTGGTAGCATCTGAGTTTGCTTGTTAGGTGCAGTTGAGCTGTTGGGGATCGCTGCTTCTGGTGTTTCCACTGGCTGGATAGGAGGCCTCAGCTGCTATGCTCATAGCTACCTTAGACCCTTGAAGTTAGATGAGGGGGAAACCTCTCTTCTCTTCATCTCCCTCTCTTCTCCAGGAAGACTGTTCTTTCCAGACAGATTCAGATATGCTTTCTCTGACTCTTCAGACTTTGGATACCTCAGTTTGCTCATTAAACAGCCTTATTTTCAGGTTATATCCTTGTGACAGCATCTTAGGACTCTCTAGACTGCTTTTATGCTTGCCCTGGGAAGTAAACGTGTTACTACTCTTCTCCTTACCCCTACTTTATCAATCTAGTCCCACCCCAGATTAATGGAACGGTAAATGCGTTGTTTGATAAATGCATGTTTTGGCAGTGCCTGAATTCACTTGAGGGGCCAGCATTATACGAAGATCACTTATGCCCGAAGATGTTTCCCATAAGAAAAAGTGCACTTAAATCATTCTGACCCAACTCTCTCCTTGTCTGCTCCCTTCATGGCTTTGAGGTTCTGAACGTGTTTCAGCTGGGTGGCTTGTATTAATACATTGCTTGCTGATCAACGGGGCTGACAGGAAAAAAAAAAAAATCAAAGAGAATGTCAGGAAAACAGTAGTATAATTCTGTTCCCAGCTGGAGAACTCCTCTTCTCTCTTGTCAGAGACACGATATGGGTCACAGAAAACTCACTATAGTGACAGTTGTTACTTTTGGGATTAGATCGATATTTGTCTGTTTCCAGGAATTAGTAGAACAACTGCCTGCAGGAATATATTTTAGAGGTGATTTCTGATCAGTGCAGAATGCGACTGAATTTAATTCTGCCATTCAAGACGCCATTTACTTTTCTAATACTTA